CCCCGAGCAGCAGAAGTGAGGCCTACCGCTGGTCTACAGCAGTCCATTTCTTTTGTAACAGATCCAGGATCCCAGACGAGCCAAGAAGCGCACAGAAACGAAACACCCAGAAACTCCTCCACACTTTTCTTCCACAGCTGTGCAAATAAATGTAAAAGAAACTCTCAGGAAATTTTATCTTGTAATTGTTTTGGCTTTCAAACCGGCAGTCCAAAGGGGGGTGCAGGCAAATCCCTGCCAGTGTTTGTGAGAATAAATGGGTTTTAAGTAGGCCTGGCGCTAAATGTCCCGTAACAGCAGATATCCTGGAGTGGGAGACAATTATTTCACTGCTGCTTGTTTATGTTTGCACTCGAGATGTTTGTGTGTTTTTCATGTGGTGAAATGCATTAATGAGACGTTCTGTTTACTCGCATAAATAAATGTGAAAGGTCAAAACTTAAGCTGAAAGTTGGACGCCGGGAGCAGAAAACATGAATTTAGATTCAGTTTGTTTTATAAACTTTGCTGTGACTGAACCGTAAAGTTTGCTGCCCTGAGCCACTTACATGTCTTGTATTACAAATAAGAAGCATTTACTTGTGTTGCAATATTTGTCCCAAAGCATGCACGCCTGCTGATGTACTGTATTCATGTCAATACATGCAAACAGGCTGCTTCTCCTCCTCAGAGGGTCTCAGTAACTGTTTCCCAATAAATCCCCTGTCACAACACATTAGCCTGCCAGAGCCATTTGGTCGGGACGATTGCGGCTTATGTCAAGCTTGTTAGCGTGTAGCGCTGTTAACTAGAGAGGGACTTGATATACGGCCGGCAGCTCTTTGTGCACCTCTCCATACCATTCTCAGGATTTACCGTGAAGGAAAGACGTGAAAGGAGTGCTTATAAAGGTTGTTGGGCTCGTTTCTTGCCTTCCAAGTGGCGCTTGTGTGTCTAGACTTCAGATTCAGAGGCTTACTTGATCATTTGATGTTCTGCTTTTTGTTCTTAATAAGCCCTGTTATCGTTATATTTTGCTAACTCGCTCCCTTTGTTCTCTCCGTAGGCTGTCACAGGAAGATGCTTTGGTGACAAGGACTTCAGAGGAGGTTTGGAGAACGGCATACTGCTATGCGAGTAAGTTCTGACTATTTTTTTATTTATTTTTATCTGACTGTGTTTTGTAATTAAATTGTCCACAAGCCGTCTCTTCGGCTTTTATCTTTGTTGGTTTTATTCTCTTCCTTAAGAACATGATGCATTTGTACCACTGTCTGTCAGTGACTGTGAAATATAGTTTCTTTTAATTAGACTGTTTCATTTGAGGCACTGAGATCATATCGTGTTCCTCTGTGACTTAAACAGGGTGCAACACCAGAGAAAGCTCCGGTCCAGAGAGGAGTGCAAGGGTCAGAATCATAATGTCCACAAAGAGATCAAGAGAGCACTCACAAATTCTCTTCTTGCATTCTTTTTATCAAATTTATAGGTTTATGATTTACATAGTTTGGTGCTCTTCCTTCCTCATCTTAACAAGAAGTTAAAATAAAATAAAACTCTTGGGTCAACATAGCATAACCCCATTTGTTTCAGAATGAATAGGAAGAACATTTACTGACTTGTTACACCAGCGTGGTCCAGTGATCAGAGAGACTGCCGTCATGTTAAATCGTCGTCCACTGTGACACCGTGAACTCTCGTCTGAACACTCGTAATTAGGCGAGACCGAAAACACACACAGACGCTTCTTCCACATTCCTGACTATCGAGTTCAGTTGCACAACCCCAATGTTTACACCATCGTTATTGTGAATACAGACATCACATCCAATTTAAAAGTGTCCCCACTGGTTTCGGAATTTCTTGGATATCGTGCAACATCTAGAGGAAGTAACTCCAGGCCGTAAAAAAATCAGGCCATGATATTGTTTTCTAAATGTGTGATTCACACAATTAGGAAAAAGTGTTCACAAAATCGATATCAGGCAGATTAATTGGATATGAAAGGTCATTGAAATTGGCGTCGGACCATCACAGGTACAATCACCAACTAGTGTTGGAACATTTAGCCGTTTAATCGATTAGTCAATCACAACATTAATTGGCAACTATTCCGATAACTAATTAATCATTTAAGTCATTTATCAAGCAATAGATTTGCTGAACTTGTTTTAGTTCCAGCTTCATGTGAAGATTTGCTCCTTTTTTTCTGTTTCATATGATTGCAAATTTGATATACTTGTGTTTTGGACTGTGTGATTTAATCATCAGCCTACACAAGCAATGCATGTAAACGGTATCCACGCAGCAGAGGACGGAGCATGTTTGACTTCCTGTGTGAGGCTTGTTTTGATCTCACTACTTCCACATTGAAACACTCCACAACCTCTTCCTCTTTTCTCCTGATACACAATGTGTTTGTCCCTCATAAGATGATGTATTTATGTTGCTTGTGCTGTTTGTTTTGATTGTGTCTGTGTTTGAAAATCCAGGAAAACTCTCTCTCTCGTAGTCATTGGCACTTCCTTTTGACCCTGTAACAAGTTTAAACTGTGACGGTCTTCAGTGGACACATATTCCTGCAGATAACTGGCAAACAATTTGATTTCATTATTTCCAAATGTCCAAAACATTTTTGTCCCGATCCATCTTGGAAGAGAATCAGAGAACTCTTTTTGTTGCAATTTGGAGAGAAAATAAACAATGAAATAATGCAGACTGCAGCATTATTCTCATTCCAGGCAGTATTGCAAGAGTGGAAATATTGTCTTCACTGTTGCCATTGCCCACTCTCCCCACCCACACATATTGTATGTAGCACTGAGAACATCCCCTTCTCTTGGGGTTGTTGAAAGTTATTCTGGGAAACATACAGTACGGCAGGAAGTCTCTCACTGAAGCCAAAGTAGATGAGAGTTCACTACAAAGGTAAATTACAGCAGCTCGTAGCAGAATACCTGCTGGAATGCCATCAGCAACATCACAGGGCCGCTGATATCTAATACTGCAAGAGTATCCGAGGGTGGGTCTGTCTTCTACAGGGAAGAATCATTACAGTGCTTCCTCTGATGAAAAGACACACAACAGATGAAACTGGAGACGGAGAGAGCAGGGAACTCTGAAACTGTGGCTCGTTCATGACTGACAATCTGTCTGAGATTGCAGGAATGTACTGTAACTTTGTAAGAAACGTTTTCCTTCTTTGTGTGTGCACCGAGAGATGACAGCAGAAGGTCTGACCTCTTCGCCTGGTGGTTCACTGCGATATGAACCGCAATAAAACTATTTAACAGCTCCCAGTGGGTGGAAGGAGAAGCAGCGATTCTCCGCTCTGATTTAGGATCTGTGTTAGTATAAACCTTCCAGAAGCCTCTGTGGGACCCTCAAAAATGTTTCTCTCCCTTTTTGTCCCCCCCTTCTTCTCTCCGAAGAGACACATTCACCAATTCACACACTCTTTATCTTTCACCTGCAGGTTTGGACTTACTTTGCGATGCATCATTGGACATATTAAACACAACTTGTCATGAAGACACATTTGAAATGCATGACTGGTGATGTCTCCCTCCCTGTGTGTCTTTTGTTAGGTTGCTGAGCTCTATTAAACCTGGCCTGGTGAAGAAAATTAACAGGCTTCCGACACCCATAGCTGGCCTGGTGAGTCCTCTACCTTTACTCAACCTGAGAGCATTTCCACAAAAACTTCCTTTCATCCTCTTGGATCTATATTCTGTCTCTTCCTTTTCCTTCCTTTTTGTCAGCATCTCTTTCTCCCTATTTATTTATTTTTTCCCTTTCCAGGAATGCTTTCAGACAGTCTTATTCAGTGCTGTCTAATGTTAAAAACTTGCTATAATCCTATAATAAAGTACAAAACTCCCTATTTATTTATTTTTTCCCTTTCCAGGAATGCTTTCAGACAGTCTTATTCAGTGCTGTCTAATGTTAAAAACTTGCTGTAATCCTATAATAAAGTACAAAACTCCATACATATCATTGCATAAGGGCTGTACTGTATGACAGCCTCGTAAATTGAGATCATTGCGTTGATACCGGTGCAGATTCCCGAAGCAGAAAGGTGACCTAAAGTTTAGCAGCGCTGTCGTACTCCAGGTGCCTCATATAAAGTACCTCACCATGTAACTTCATTGTTGGTGTCTGTTCAGGTTATTTATGTTCTGGAGTGTGATTTTCTGTCCGTTTTCCAGATTTCTTTTTTTTAGTCTTGGTTATAAATATCCCCACAACCTCCACTGAATAAACTTAGTGCCCAGGAGTATTACAATAATCATGTGACATGCATTATACGGTACCAGGTGTGTAATCGGGGGTTGATTACAGGTACCTGCAGCTGAAAGTTCTCCGTTTCAGCTGTCGTGTGTCACACTGAGCTCTTAGCGGCTCACTTATTGTAGAGTGAGACAGTTCTGCAGTGAAACAAAAATCATCTGCGGACTCCCACTCTGTAAAGAAAACACTCAGAAATATATCAAAACATTACATATCTGCAGGAGCTTATGTTTCAGTATCATTTACTGTCTTTCCATTGCATTTCTTTCACTAAACATATTAAGTTTGATTTACTGAAACCATCAAAATGTATTTTTCATCTTCAGCAGGGAGAAATTTCTTCCAGATGCTGAAACCTTCAGTGAAAACTGTACGTTGTTGTCCATGGTTTTATTTAAGAATCTTAAGTTTGCCTCCTGCTTTGAAAAGAGAGCCTGTGAATTCCAGTCGACCAGAACACTGATGTATCTCAGAGTAGAGTACAGTGCAATACACTGGAGCCCTTTCATGATGACCTAAGACCTTGATCTGGATGAAGTAACCTTTCAGGACCCGGACCGGTGCGTAAACAGAGGCGCTCTGAAAGTTGAGCGGATTGGAACTCACGCTAGACGTACTTCCGTCTATCTTTCCTGCCTAACTTGCTCTTAATGGCATTCCTAACTGCTGTGTCAAAGAATGTTTCTGTAAAAACAGCGTGGCTATTCTGTTGATGATCTTGTTTGGTATGCACCAGGTTACAGTACAGAAATGAATGATCAGGAATAAAACTTTGTATTTATCTGCGAGGGCTCGATGGCACTGATCACTAAATGGTTACTCTGTAACATACTGAGAGTTCTTTCTTCTAAACATGAACTATTTCCTTAAAGACACTGATAGAAGTTATTTGGATCACAGCAGGACAGGACAGAAAGTCTGTGTTGGGCTTAAATGGGTTTTCTTATCTCATGGCGTCACTAATGGCTGCCAATGAGCCTTCTCTTGTTTTTTTACAAGTGTCTGATAATTACACAGCCACATTCTTTACGGGCCTTTTTATCCCCTCATACAATCACTGCTAGAATAACAATTGATTATCCTGTTAGAGCTGTTAAACCCACGAGCTTCTGTGCTCTCTCCATCTCGGTAATGTTCTTGTTTTTCCTCATCTGGTTCTACTATCCTGCATTCTTCACTTTGATCAAATTTTCCTGTATTTGTAGCCTAATGGACTCTAATCAGTTCATCTGACAGCCATGTCTTTCCTGTTTATTTAAAGCACTCTCGTATATCCATCGGGTTGCAGTGCCATTTTTCTACAAAGCTGCATTATTCTGTGAAAACTATTGACTTTCACAAGTTGATTAATTGGGCGTTTAATTGTCGAATCTTGATTTTTCAAAAGATTAATCAAAGCTGCAAAAAGAAATTTGATTTGCATTAGCAGTTTCATATTAAAATTTCTTTCAATAATGACACCAAGTAGGTGGAGACATTAATGCCAACAAATGGTACCATTTTTAAAGCTTATCCATGCTTTCTAAGAGCGCAAATGAGGCATTGATTCATTTATTTTGATGTAGCGGAAGATGTTTCAAAGATTGTGTGATTGTTGAACTGTTTGCTAGTTAGTTTCACAAGTTTGGAATTGTATCTCAAACAGTGACTGAAAAAACAACTGTCTCAGGAGAGGCAATGCAGTTGCAGGACGAAAAGCATTACATGACAATTACTGCCTGGCCCAAAGGGGGCAGATGAACCATCAACTGAAGATGTTTACAGTAGCAGTTTGAGGACAACATATTAAAATAACACCTGCTGGTTTAATTCCAGTCTAAACAATATGACCCTCTATTGGTAAGTTTCATAATTCTGGCCCTCAGCTTCCTCCTATGGCTTTGCGGGGATTTTTCTTCCTGTTGGCTGTGATTAGAGAGGTGAGAAACTCATAAACAAGGCCTCTGCTGTTATCTGGACCATCGTAATAAAACACAGGCTACTCCCCCTTCCCCTTCCTGTTTGGGGGGCTAATGGGAAAATGAGTCTCTGAGGAGGTTTGGCTGTTTTGTAATTAGAGCAGCTACCTCAGTGCTTTGGCAGCTCGTCCCTGTGTGGCTCAGTGTTCGTCTGAACAGGTCGGTTGTTGCGTGGTCTGTTCCCAGCCGTCTCCGGGTCGACTGGTATGCTCATGTTTTACGGTGTGTAAACAGACATGTAGCTGAGATCGCCCTACACGTTGAATGGTAGTGATTCACATGTTTGAAAATGTGTTGTTTTCCAGACATAAAGTTTAGAGCAGCAGAAAAAACCCCACCTCAGACTGTTATGTAAAAACAGTTATACCCGCTTTGGAGATTTTCAGTTTTGATATTCATCTGAGGGATTGTATGCCTGATTAAGGTCTTGAGATAATTCAACTACCCTGATTGCAGTGAGAGCTTCTTGGAGCCCTGTCGGTCATCCTGAAGTCCATGTATCTCAACTTAAATGGATGTAAAGAGGGTTTTACTTGAAAATGACAGGATGATAAAATAATATGAATTCACACAAGTGTGTACTATAGACAGCTTAATGTCTATTTATAAAATAAACCCATTATTTAATCAAACATTTTTTTAAAGGATCTACTATTTATTTCTTTATTCATTTTTTACATTGTGACCGCATTGTTTCTAAAATAACTGAAACATATCTTTTTCATTGACGTGCTGTATTTTCTCGTTGCAGTTTGACCAACATATACAAAGATACTGATGTCACTGCAGTTAGCTAATACTGGAGGATATACTGGTCAAACGCCAGTGAGAATGCATAGATATATGCACATTAACACAAAGTATTAGTCTATGTATATAACATTAGTATGTGTTGGTGAATCTATAAAGTGAATTTCACATCACATGCAGCAGGTGATTTCTGTACATTAAGGACACACAGCTCATCATGCTGGGCTCTCCCCTTCCTCTTCCTCTTATTCTTATTTGTGGGAGTTGAGGAGAGGAAAATAATCTGGAGCGTATCTTACTGACACTCCAGTGTTGCGTTTCCTCATCCTGAGAGGCTTTCCTCTGGATTCTGTCAAGGTCCAACATCAGGGCGTGAGCACTGATCCTCTTCCCTGAGAAACCTTGGTGGTCTAATCGTGGTTGTCGGATATTGATTACAATGAGGGTTGTTAAAAAACACACACTCTTACACATGTAGTTACAGTGTAAACACACACACAGTCAGTAATACTGGAACTTTGAATATGTGGCCTTTAGACAGATCAGGGTTTACTTTCTGCTAACTTATATTGATAAACTTTTATCTAGTGCTAATTTAAATATATATAACTCTGAACATATTTAGATTTGTTGTGAATGTGTAGAATTTTTTTTTTTTTTGTAGTACAGTAGACAGGCTCTTTTGAGTCAATCTCTACCTCCCAATCCTTCTACAAACACATTAAGCTGCCAGTCACTCCTTTGCGGTAGACGCCCAGCTTCCTGTGGCAGTGACCTGTAAATCACAAGTTATGCTCACTTCTTAAGACCCACACACACATGCTCACACACGCCAACACCCACTACATTGTTGTCATCATGCCAGTTGCTACTAAATTAGCCTGTTTAATTGTGTGTCGGCTTGTTTATTGCAGTGTTTTGTTATTTCAATTCCAGGCCGTGTGAAATTGTGAGACAACATTGTTTTACAGCTGAAGTCAGAGTTGCTCTGTGATAGCGGAGATTGTTGTTGTCAACGCCGCCAGATCCCCATCTAGCTTCTTGCTCAACTAGACTAAACAAGCGCTCCCTTTTTTGATGAATGCTCTTGGAAATATGGTTTCCTTGGTGGTTCCTTATAGCTGATGAGGGGCCGGTCTCTGAGGGAAAATATCTCTTCACAGTGACAATGGTTTAAAGATTGCGCAACATGTTGTAGGTAGAGGCTGTATAATTATAGCAAACATCTTAAGTTTGTTTAGTTTTGCTGCTTAATATCATGATCATTCATCACATGTGTCTTGGTTTCACAGAGAAGAGGCCGTGGTTACACTCCTTTTCAAGTCTTCACGTCTTTTCAATGCAACTTTTGTTTTGTCAATGCCGGGACACGTAAACTTATAAGTCTGTACGCTTCAAGGTCAGATCTTGGATCACATTGGGATCCGATCAGCCAGACCACATGCCGAGGTGGACTGGCTCGCATTGAGTTGGGATCTCAGTGAGGTGTAGACTGCATGTGAACACAATCCGGACAATTTATCAAACGTATAGGTCTCCATCTTCTTCCCTCCACATTGGAGTTCCTCTACAGAGGAGAGCAAAGGGAAGAGAGGAGGAAAACCGGGGGCTGCAATTAAGTAAGCTTGCGCACAGTTATTGAATAGGCTCAGTCTTCCACTTTATTCTCCTAGCTTCCTCACATGCGTCTAAGTTTTTGCTAAAGTTTGATCTTGAAATAAGTTACTACTGTATCAAGTAGTTCATGAGCAAAATGGGTAAGCACTTGCTGTATGTCTAACAAAAACAAATTTAACTTCAGAATCTCATCCAGCGGGGTTATTTGTGTCAAATTCTGGTCATAAAAAGTTTGGCAGTCCCAATTACAGACTGTCCCCTCACACTAAGGGAGTCCCTAATTGTCCCGCAAGTGATATTTCATTTCTAATATCTAGAAAATATTCTTAAATAGAGTCCACATTGATATTCATGGTAAGCCACTGGACTTAAGGCCCTTTATTTTGAAGTCAAATGTGACCCTGATGAGCAGTGTGAGTGTGAGACCCACTGTAGGGTGTGTCCTCCCTGGAATAAAACTGTCAAAAGGAGAGATCGCTGTGTCCTCGCTCAAAGAGCCTGGTGTGTGTGTGCGCGCGTGTGTGTGTGAGCGTGCGCGTGTGTGTATCGGTGGGTGGGGTTTGCCTCAGCAGGAGAGCAGAGATGGCGCTGTCCCAAAAACACAGGAAGCTGCAGGGTGGGTTTGGAGTTGGTGTTTTGCTCCGAATGTGAAAGGATCGTGAGAACAAGTGTTTCCAAGTATGTTTGTTTACGTGTTTGCAGCCATGCATGTGATCTTACACCTGCTAGTGTGTACATGTAAATATGTCTCTTTGTGTTTTGTGAGTCCGATCACATGAAAGGATCTATATTTAAAACAGCATTTTGTCTAAATGTGTGCGTATTGTATAGGGATGTATGGGCATTGTATTTGTGTTTTGGTGTGTGAGAGAGAGGGAGAGAGTATGCTTGAGACAATCAGGGTGAAGAGAGAGAGAGAGGTGGGGAGAGAGAAAGAGGGAAGGGCTTTGGCTGTGTCCCTCTACGGATAGAGAGGCATAGAAATGAAGAGAGAGAGAACCTGGGAACAGGAGAGGAGAGCTCGGCTCAGGTTGCATCCAACAAAGAGTTTGTCTGAGAGGAGAGAGGGAGGACGACTGAGAGGATGGGGAGAGAGTGAAAGTTGGGGAAGAAGAAGAGGGAGAAGGAACGACCGAGGAAAGCAGGCGAAGGAGGGAGGATTAAAAAACGGAAGCCACTTGAAGGAAGCAGAGAGGTGGTGAGTGAAAGTTGGAGTCGTCTGAGAGAGGAGACGCACGAAAGCCGTCCACAAAACCCGCTGGTGTCATGTTTCTGCCGAGCAGGTATCCTGATTTTCATGTTGTGTTTGTGGTGTGTGTCTTTGCATGTTTTTTTTAATGTAGGGAAAATAGATGAATCCTGTTCAGATCCCTAAAATAGGACTCCTGGCATCTCTTGTACTTACACACACACACACTGGCCAGAGATGTGTGTGTGTGTGTGTGTGTGTGTGTGTGTGTGTGTGTGTGTGTGTGTGTGTGCGTGTGCGTGCGCAGACTCATTTGAATTTTACACTGTATGAGGGCTTGTTGAGACTTTGTCCACAGGTCTGTAAATGAACGTTTGAGGGTTTAAAGTGTAGAAGAGTAAGAGTATTGAAGTGTGTTCACGTGTGTGTGTTTGTCCATGTTTAGATTAGCAGTGTGTGCCATTCTTAATGAGCCAGACTTCATTTTCTTTGCTGTAGCGCCAGAAGTTTATTTTCTCTGATACTGTATGATTTGAAGTGAATCTGAGAGAAACTGTGTGTGTGTGTGTGTGTCATGGGTGAGTTCAAACCTTGTGCAATTAATGGACCTGATCTCGCGTTGCCTTCTGTCTCTGCCAACAGCGTGTTTATCCTGATGAAACTGTGTGTTTGCGTGTTTTTGTGCAGGACAACCTCAGTGTGTTTCTGTGCGGCTGTGAGGAGTTGGGACTGAAAGGCTCCCAACTGTTTGACCCTGGAGACCTGCAGGACACGTCGACGCGCCCCACCGCCAAGTAAGTCTCAGAGCTTCAGTGTGTGTGTGTGTCTGTGTGTGTGTGTGTGTTCTAAAGCACAATGTCCACCAAGTCTTGTGTAAAGGTCAAAAAGTATTTTTCAAGGCAATTGTTTTTTTTGACATCTATTTGTATGGTTATTTGAGAAATAGACTGTCCTTGTGCATTTTGTGACTGATTAATATCTTTAGACTTTTGTGCTCTGTGTGTGACGGTGTTTTCAGCTTTATTTTTTTGTTTGTATTGCCTTTAAAGATGGACCTGGTCCAGAAGGCAGCATAAAACACGGTTATGACTGCAAACACCAGGTGTTAAATAGATGACTCAAAGTGATCTTGTATCTGGTTAAATAAAGGTTTGATGTTTTTGTGCTTCAGTGCACAGGACAGAGAGAGGGTGCTCACAGCAGTAGCTGCTCTGGAGCTTAAAGGTCTTCTCTTCCAGTCTTGAGCTTGGCTTGTTTTTTACTAAGTGGATGAACCGAGTGTTGTTGCTGATGAACACTTTAATTGTGTCTTAATAGATGGCTGTTCTGTGTCACTGGTTGTGTGTCACGGTCTGTCAGTCATTCTGTGCATCAGACGATCTCCCTGTTCACAACCAACATAAATAACCGAGTCAGTGGAAGTTTGTAGAGCCTTTGTCGGTGAAGCAACAATACCATATCTGTTTGACACAACTGGTCTCTGTCCAAATACAACACTCGCTCTCTGAACCACAACTCCCACTTTGTTGCTTGGTAACACAAACAAGTGCATGCAGCTCTTAAGATATACTGTGTGTTTTTTGTGTGTGTGTGTGTGTGTGTGTGTGTGTGTGTGT